GCTAGCACTACCTTAAAGACATCCATTTTCTATCTTTGACTCTTGTGTTCCCACTTTGTGCCTGGCTCCCTGTTCTCTAAGGCTAGGTGACCCCACTGTATCCTTAGATGCTATTTCCTTACTGTAACCTTGTGTCTACTTTCTATGGGAAAAACAGGACAGCCAGTCCATGGTCTCTCAGTCCACTGTAACTTACCAATGCAACATTCACTGCCGTCCTCTGTTGTCAGGAAACCTCTGTACTCTTGGTGAGATTTTAGCTTTTCCAGCCAAATTTCATCAAATTCCAATCTCGTTTTTTTTTTTTTAAGGAGCTCTTTTAGAGATATGTGCCAAGAAATTAAATTGGGAATAGGGAATTAAGAAGACAAGGCTATTCCTCTTCTGATGTGGAGGACAACATCCTTTGCAGAGCATTCAACAAGGTCAAACAGTTCCTTCAGTGGCTGATTGATAAAACATCAAAGTAGGTCCACACTGAAAACGACTTACCATTGATCACAGCCTAAGAAGTGGTGGCAGAAGTGCAAGTGCTTAGACCACTATTCAGATAGTTACTATGGGTCTGAATACATACGTTTGAACAGGAAGTGATTATTTGGGGGAACACTGGAATGCAGAGAGACTACACAACAATATTCTGCCACCTAGTGAGGAAGAGGAATCAAGCAACTCAAGCTGATTAAAGATCCCACCATTGGGAGGAGAAAAATAACATGGCTCAGTTCTGCTACTTTGTACCTTTAGTCATTTCATTTTTGCACTGGAAAACAACTGACATGAAACATTTGGGGGAAAGACGGTTTAACGAGGAAGGGGAGCTGAAGGCAGCTCTCTGTTTTCCATGGTTTCCTAAGTGGACAAAAATGTGTAGCTATAGGGGATGTGATATTATCCATGTAAGTATCTCTGTGAGGTCAGTGTTGTGGTATAGCAGATTAACCAGCCACTTATGACATCAGCATCTCTTATCAAAATATCAGTTTAAGTACCAGCTACTCCAGCTCCCTGCTAATGCACCCAGGAAAGCAAGGGAGGATGGCTCAAGTACCTGAGCCCCAGAAACCTATATAGGAGACCTAGATGGAGCTTCAGGCTCCAGGCTTCAGCCTAGCCCAGCCATAGCCATTTGGAGAGTAGATAATAGGAGAGAAGATCAATCTTTCTCCCCATTCTCCTTCTGTCAGTCTGCCTTTCAAATAAATATTCTTTAAAAAGTAGTTCTGCATATTACAAAACATAAATGACAATTTGCTTAAAAACAGCATAGAATACTTTTATCGTCATGAATGAAAATTTTACAAAATAAAGAAAAAGTGACTCCCAATAGCAACTTTGAGAACATTGCCTTCAGAAGAGAGTGAGATGATATATTCAAGGCTTTAAAAAAACTTCCAAAAAAGAACATTATATCCAGTGAAGATATCCCTTTTTAAAAGATTTATTTGAGAGGTAGAGAGAAGGAGAGACAGAGAGAAAGGACTTCCATCCATTGATTCACTGCCCAAATGGCTGCAATGGCCAGAGCTGAGCCAATCCAAAGCCAGGAGCCAGGAGCTTCTTCCAGGTCTCCCATGTGGATGTAGGGGCCCAAGCATTTGGGCCATTTTCTGCTGCTTTCCCAGGCCGTAAGCAGAGAGCTGGACTGGAAGAGGAACAGCCAGGACACAGACCTGTGTCCATATAGGATGCTGGTGCTGCAGGCGGAGGCTTAGCCTACTATGCCACATTGTCAGTCCCAAAATTATCCTTTAAAAAGTGAAGGAGAAATAAAGTATTTTCCAGATAAACAAAAGCCAAATTTACCACCACCAATACCAGACTTACAAGAAATACTAAAAAGCATTCTGCATTAGAAATAATCATTATGAAAACAGAGGACACCAAATTCACTAAGAGAGCAGGCAGAATCATTATCCAATCAGCAAAATAATAGGTCTCAGTTCTTATCTATCAATACTAACCTTCAATATAAATGCATTACATTCACCAAGCAAAAGATTTAGGTTGCCTGAATGGATAAAAACCAGGACCTCACTACATGCTGCCTACAAGAAAATCACTTCACAAACAAAGATCCACTCAGACTGAAAGTGAAGGGTTAGAAAAAGATGTACCAGGCAAACGGAAACCAAAAGCAAGCAGGCATAGCTATCTTAGTATTAAATAAAAGACTTTAAGCCGAAACAGTAAAGAGAGATAAAGAGGGACATTACATTTTGATAAAAGGTTCAATTCAGCAAGAAGACATATCATAAATAAATATGCACCCAATATATATGGTGTATATATGTATGGTGTTTATATATGGCATATATATATGTATATATAATACTATTAGATCTAAAGGGAGACATATACTCCAACAATAGTGGATGACTTCAACACCTCACTGTCATCAATAGATCATTCAGAGAAAAGTCAATAAAAATACATTGGAGTTGAACACAAAAATATTGAAATCATAACATGTATCTTCTCAGATCATAAAGGAATAAAACTAAAAAAATTTATAAAAATCAACAATAGAGTACTCATAAATATTTAGAAATTAGGGGCAGATGCTGTGGTGTAATAAGTTAGGTCTCTGCCTGTGGTGCCACCATCCCATATGGATAACTGGTTCGAGTGCCAGCTGCTTGACTTTTGATCCAGCTCCCTGCTGGTGGCCTGGGAAAGCAGTGCAAGATGGCCCAAGTGCTTGGGGCCCTGTACTCATGTGAGAGACTCAGAGGAAGCTCCTGGCTTTGGATTGGCCCAGCTCCAGCCACTGTAGCCATTTGAGGAGAGAACCATCTGATGGAAGATCTCTCTTTCAGTCTCCCCCTCTCTCTGTAACTCAGCCTCTCAAGTAAATCAATCAATCTTCAAAAAAATTGGAAATTCAACAACATGCTACTGAATGATAAATGGGCCATTGAGGAAATTAAAAAGGAAATAAAAAACTTTCTTGAAATAAATGAAAATGAAAAGACAACATATCAAAATTTGTAGCATACAGTAATAGCAGTATTAATAAGGAAGTTTATAGCATTAAATGCTTATATTCAATAACAGAAATGTCTCAAATTAAAGATCTAATAATGCATCTTGAAGACTTAGAAAAACAAAAATAAATCAAACCCCAAATCAACAGGAAAGAAAAATATGGATCTGACCAGAAATAAATGACATTGAACTTAATAATACAAAAGATCAGCATAACAGAAAGTTGGCATTTTAGAAAATGAACAAAATAGATCAACCTCTACCCAGAATAACAAAGAAAAAAGAGAAAAAAATTCAATAAAATTAGAGATAAAAAGGAGACATTTATGATGACACCTCTGAAATACAAAGGATCATAAGAAACTACTATGAAAAACTATAGGGGCCAGTGCTGTGGAATGGTAAGCTAAGCCTCCGCCTGCAGTGCAGGCATCCCGTATGGGCACAGATTCAAGTCGCTGCTGCTCCACTTCCAATCCAGCTCTCTGCAATGGCCTGGGAAAGCAATGGAAAATGGCCCAAATCTTTGGGCCCCTCTTCCCACATGGGAGACCCAGCAGAAGCTCTTGGCTTCAGATTCCCCATATCCAGCATTGTGGCCATTTGGAGAGTGAATCAGCAGATCCAAGAACTTTCTGTCTCTCCTCTCTGTCTATAACCACCTCTCAAATGAATAAATAAATCTTAAAAAAAGAAAAACTATGTACTAATAATCTGGAAAACCTAGAAGAAATAGATAAATTCCTTGATTCATATAACCTACCAAGGTTAAATGAAGAAGATACAGACAACCTAAATAGACCCATGACAAGCAATGAGACTGAAGCAGTAATTAAAAGTCTTCCATCAAGGAAAATTCCAGGACCTAATGGCTTTACTACTGAATTCCACAAAGCATTCAAAGAGGAAGTAACTCCAGTACTCTTCAAACTACTCCAAAATATTGAATAGGATATAACTCTGCCAAACTCTTTTTATTAGTGCACCATTAATTTTGTACCATAATGCAAACGTGACACAAGAAGAAAACTACAGACCTATATTCTTAATAAATAGAGATTCAAAAATTCTCAACAAAATACAAGCAAATTAAATCCAAAACCACATAAAAAAGATAATACATCATGACTAGTGGTATTTATTCCAGAAATCCAAGGGTGGTTCAACATTCACAAACCTATAAATGTAATAAATTACATCACTACAATGAAGAACAAACACCATATGGTCATCTCAATAGATGGAGAGAAGAATTCAATAAGATTCAATACCTCTTCATGATAAAAACCTGCCACAAATTAGGTATATAAGGAACATTTCTGAAAATTATAAAGGCTATATATGATAAACCAACAGCCAATATCACAGTGAATGGAAAAAAGCTGAAAGCATTTCTCCAGATCTGGAAGAAGACAAGGGTTTCTACTTTCACCACTCTTATTCAATAGAGTATTGGTAGTTTTTAACAAGAGCAATTAAGGAAGAGAAGGAAATAAAAGGCTTTAAAATTGTAAAAGAGGAAGTCAAAATATGCATGGTTGCAGGTGACACAGTGTTATACATGGAAAAACCTAAGCATTCTGTCAAAAAGTTGTGAGAATTGATAAACCGTATGATAGCCATGAACTCACAGAAAGAGAAAGCAGGAAAGAAATCCCATTTACAATAGCCACTAAAAAATAAAATATTTAGGAATAAATTTAAAGAAGATCTCTACAATGAAAATTATCAAACATTGATGAGAACAATCATCAAGGACACACCAAAAAAATGGAAAGGTATTCCTTGTTCATGGACTGGAAGAACCAATGTCATTAAAATGTTTATACTACCTAAAGCAACCTACAGATTCAATGAAATCCCTATCAAAATACCAATGGCATTCTTTCAGAATTAGGGGAAGAAGTCCTAAAATTCACATGTAATCACAAAAGACCCAAATAGCCAAAGCAATCCTAAGCAAAAAAAACACACATAAAAAATACCAAAAAAAAAAAAGCTGGAGCATCACAATACCTGATTTAAATGCATATTATAAAGCTATATTGCCGGCGCCACGGCTCAATAGGCTAATCCTCCGCCTGCAGCACTGGCACACCAGGTTCTAGTCCCGGTCAGGGCACCGGATTCTGTCCCAGTTGCCCCTCTTCCAGGCCAGTTCTCTGCTATGGCCCGGGAGTGCAGTGGAAGATGGCCCAAGTCCTTGGGCCCTGCACCCACATGGGAGACCAAGAGAAGCACCTGGCTCCCAGCTTTGGATCAGCGCAATGCACTGGCCACAGTGTGCCAGCCGCGGCGGCCATTGGAGGGTGAACCAACAGCAAAAAGGAAGACCTTTCTCTCTCTCTCTCTCTCTCTCTCTCACTATCCTCTGCCTGTCAAAAAAAAAAAAAAGCTATATTAATTAAAATAGCTTGGTAGTGCCATAAAAACCAATACACAGATCAATCAAACATAATCGAGAACCCAGAAAGTAATCCACATAAATATCGTCTACTGATTTTTTAACAAAGTGTTCAGACCATATAGTGCAGTAAAGATAATCTCTGCAACAAATAGTCCAGGCAAAACTGGATGTATAAATTTAGAAGAATGAGATTAGATCCATACTGCTCACTATATATAGAAATCAATTCAAGATGGATCAAAGACCTAAATTTAAAAGCAGAGCCTATACAGTTGCTGGAAGAAAATGGAGGGAAAACACTCCAAGACATTGGTGTAAAGGACAAATTCTTGGAAAAGAGCCCAAAGCACAGGCAACAAAAACAAAACTAAATAGATGGGACTATCTAAAACTCAGAAGCTTTTGCAAGCAAAGGAAATAATCATTAGAGTGAGCAGACATCAAACAGAATGGGAAAAATTATTTGCAAACCACCTATCCAAAAAAGGATTAATATCCTGAATGTATCATCAACTTAAAAAACTCAACAACAACAACAACCAAAAAAACAACAAATCCAGTTGGGAAATGGGCAAAGGATTTCAAAAGGCAGTTCTCAAAAGAAAAATACAAATGGCCCACAAATACATGAAAAATGCTCAACATCTCTAGCCATTAGAGAAATACAAATCAAAACCACAATGAGGTATCAATTTACCCCTGTAAGAACAGGTAAATTCCAAAGCACAGAGAATAACAAATGCTGGTGAAGATGTGGAGAAAGACAAATATTTAATACTGTTGGTGGGAATGTACTTTAGTGCAGCCACTGTGGAAAACAGTGTGGAGATTTCTTTAAAAACTAGAAATAGACTTGCTATATATGATCTAGCAATCACACTACTGTGTATATACCCAAAAGACATGAACACACACACGTATCAAAGAGATACCTGCACCACCATGTTTGCAGCAGCAGTGTTCACAATAGCCAACATCTGAAATCAACCAAGGTGTCTATCTTCACATGCAGCCAAAAGAATGGAAAAAAATATTTGCAAATTACACAATTGATAAAGGATTAATATCTAGGATTTATAACAAGCCCAAAACACTCAACAGCAACAAAAAATCTAGTTAAGAAATGGGCAGAACACATGAACAGACATTTTTCAAATGATGAAATACAAATGGCTAATACACCTTGAAAAAATGTTCAGGATCATTAGCCATCAAGGAAATGCAAACAAAAACCAATCAGTTTCTATCTAACCCCAGTTAAAATGGCTGTCATCCAAAGTTCAAAAAACAGTAAATGTGGTGAGGATGTGGGAGAAATGGTACCCTAATACACTGTTGGTAGAAATCTATACTAGTATAATCATTATGGAAGACATTCCTCATAGATCTAATAATAGTTATTCTATTATACTCTGCCACCCCACTCCTGGGAATTTACACAAAGGTCATGAAATCAGTATATGAGTTATTTATATCTGAATGTTTTTACAGCTCAATTCAAATAGCTAAGATATGGAATCAACCCAGATACCCATCAACTGTTGACCGGATAAAGCAAACAGGGTGTATATATACACTGTGGAATACTATTTATCCACAAAAAAGAATGAAACCCTGCCATTTGCAATAACTGAAAAAAATTATGCAAAGTGAAATAAGCCAATCTCAAAAAGACACATCATATTTTCTCTGATATGTTACAGTTAATATAGAACACAAAAATAGGAATGGAAAGGACATTTTGTGATATTGTCATTTTTAGCTCTTGTTTATATTCCTATGGAACTGCAGTCTTCATACTTTGTATTTGTTAAATATTATGGTTAGTGGCAAATAAGTATGTGAATATAGAGTGGATTAAATTTATATCTTTGTAAAAACTCATGAAGAGAGGGAAGGGAGGGAGGGAGACTGGGGAATGGGTGTAGTGAGATAAGTGTGGTTGTCTTCTTGGAATTGTCCTATGGGATATATGAAATCTGTTCTCTTTATATGAATTTAAAAATTTAAGTCCATGGAAAATATAGATTTAAAAAAAGATAGAGTGAAAAGTACCTTCAGAAGGCAGTGCCATAACCATATCTACCCTCCAAAAGTTTAGCCATATGAATGAAATCCTGAATGTCAGAGTTCTGTAGACTCTTGGCACACACTAGCTTTCTTGTTTCAGAGCCTCTGTCCTTGCCTTCCCTACTTTCTGAGGCAAACTTCCTAGGGCTCACGCCCTCACTTCTCTTGGCTTCAACATATCCATCCCTTCTGTTAGGCTCACCAGGATCTGGTCATTTTGAACTCAATATACAGTCTCAGAAAACAGCCAGGGGCCATATGTGGCACCAGTCCACTCAAATGGATATATGACAATGAAGCAAGCCTGCCAAAACCATAGCCTCTGGTGTTCCTCTTCGGCCATGAGTATCCTTACAGCCACTCTTGGGCTATCATGAACACCAGGTCAAAAAGGGTTCCATGTTAGCCCATGCAAGAACTTTCCTGGCTTACAAGCCTCCTGTCCCATTGGAGTTCATAATTCTTACAGTAAGCTCAAAGGCATATTCTACAGAGTCCCACTACCAACATGCTAGTTACAGGAACCATAGGTTCAGAGAAGCTCAGAAAATGCTACCTCCCTTAGAAACCTAGTTTATTTGCAGCAGACGTAGTTCACAAGCAACTCACTAATCCAGCATCATTTTTATTGTAAGTAATTTAATAACATACTTGATGTGTTTATATTTATCACAGTACCAAAGAAACAGTTCTGCATAGTTAGATTGATGCCCACATTCTCAAGCAGTGGAAGAGTTTATAAACACACACCATCCAAAATAACTATGTGTTCGATTTTTTTCAACACACTAGCTATTTACAGCACACATCGTTGTTTATTTACTCATGTATTTGTGGCCTGGTTCCCCCACCACCAGCCCTATTACAGCAGAGAAGATTCTTGAAATGTTCTCTGCTGGATGCAGAGTCTACTAAAACATGTGACACAGAGTAGGTGCTCAGTAAACATTTCTTAAGTGAATAACACGTACTACCTGGATTTCATTATGAGCATCAAACTGGCAAGCAAAATGCTGACACATAAGTGGACAGGCAACCTGTTAGCATGCCTTAAAGACCAGGTCCCAGGTGACACAGTTCAGAACAAAGAATTATGTTCATAAAAGGACTGGGGTGTCCCTCAGGACTTTTGTTACAGCCCTGAAAATAGTGACCAAGTTTCTAGAGTTTAAAAAACTGGAGAACAACAGCTATGACAAACAGGATAGAAGTTCAAGCAGGAATCCAGCTACTGAGACATGAGAATGCCAGCGTTGGAATGGGCTTCTCACCAAGAAAGCTTCACTGCACAGCTGCTGAACCTCTACAAGAGACCTCGGTGTGACAGTTAGATCAGATTTCTGCATTTCCAAAAGTTGTGTGAGACATTAACAACAATTTTTAGGAAACTATTTTTGCCTGTTAAATCCCTGCTAAAACATATTTTTTTACTAAAATTCCTCTGAGAATTTGGTAAATCTCAAAAGAAAACACAAGGCATGGCATTTTCCCAAACAGCTTAAGCTGTAGACCCTTCTTTTGGAACATCTCACTGGTCTTTGGAACAATTTAAATAAATCTGCTTTATACTATTTGGCAGAAACTAATATATTGCATATATTTTACCAAAACAGCCCAAAATGAATAAACAGGAACTAAGAGCCAAAATTAATATATTCAATACAATTCTAAGGGTATAATTTAACTACTTTTTAACTTTAAGTTTTCTTTTTCAGATAGACGTATCCCATTAGCTTCTTGCAAAACTGGCAACTGTTTTTATCATACTCCTAATCCAGTCTGCATAAGAATGAGCCCCTTTACATATTCCAACACGAAGAATCAAGGATATTCAAACTGTAGTACTTGTATAACTTTAATAATCTCAATTAAGACTTAGATTGAAACCTACTTTTAATATTAGACAATCCAAGAAAATACCAATTTCATGATAAATCAGGTACCCAATGAGACTTCTGTCTCTAATAAAACAAAATTGGGGGTACCCAAGATGGTTGATAGGGAAAAGATGAGCTGCTTGTCACCATGGGAAGATACCAGAAGAGCAGGGAAGGGACCACATTTCCAGGGGACAGGAATTTACCCAAAGGAAATGAAATCAGTTTATGAAAGAGTTATCTGTATGCCTTTGTTTATAGCAGCTCAATTCACAATAGCTAAGACATGAACATAGATGTCCATCGACTGATGACTGGATAAAGAAAATGCGGTATACATACACCCTAGAATACTACTAAGTATTCTATAAGAAGAATGAAATCCTGTCATTTTTAAAGATATAGATGCAGTTGGAGAATCCATATGCACAGTGAAACAAGCCAGTTTCAAAAAGACAAATACGTTTTCTCTGATTTGTGGTAACTAATATGCAGTGTACAAAAAAAGTAATGTATATGAGTGAAATTGACATCTTGATACTCAATTATTCTTTATAATCCTTGTCTGTACTCCAGAGGAACACTGGTCTTTCTACTTCAATAATTTATTTAGTGGGGATTAAGCTTGTGATTATAAAGTAAATTAAAGTACGTCATTGCAAAAATAAAAAGAAAAATAATAAGGGGAGAAGAGGGAGTGTGGGAGCAAGAGAGAGGAGGGTGGTTGGGAAGACCAATTATGTTCATAAACCTGTATATATAAAATACACAGAATCAGTTCTCTTTAAAGAAATGAATAAATAAAAGCTAAAATCAAAGACAATAAATTTTAAAGCAAATCTTCCAGTCCCCCTTGTGATCTTGACATACACTAGTTGTTTGAAATGAGCATTTAGACAGCGAAAGGCCACTGTCTGTTACATGCCTGTGGTCTGTGAGGCAGCTGTCCCTTCCCCTGCCTTTTCTCTCAACCAACCAAAAAAGAAAATCCTGAGAGAGAAAACAGAGTATTTGTTTTGAATGCTACTGACACAAGGGAAATTTGCAGTATCTTTCTTGTGGAGGAAACTGCCTAAATGTTCTTGGGGAAGCACACTCCCCCAGAATAGGACACAGCTGCAGTCCTGTCTCTGCCTATGCAGGCTGGGCAAGGGCACACCCTCCCAATGCAATGTGGTGGCAGAAGGCCACAGCAAGTGCAATCTGCAACTAGTGATGTACGGTAGTTTTGGGAACTTGAAATATTAAGCAAGGCTTTAAATATTTGTGACATAGATCAAAGCATACTGTATGATATGGATCACATCACCATCCTTTGTCATGGAACATAAGAGCTTGGTTTTCTTTGTTCCTTTAAAAAGCTTTAGTACATGTACTACTATGCTTATGTACTTGCCTGCATATATAGTTGTTTGTACCCCATAATAAAAAGTGCTAGCCAGGGGCTATCTGGCAGTGCTCTTCTGTGGAAGACTCATTTCCTGTCTTGTCATTATCAATTCACCGCAAGTGGCGCCTGAACAGGGACCCTCAGCACAGCATGCAAGGGTCGGCTCACCTCGCCTGGCAAGGGTTACAGATGTATTGTTCATCTCTTTGAGATCCCAGTGAGTCATTTAACAAGGTAAATTCTCTGTCCACAGTGCAACAGAGGCATAGGACAGAATTGTATTATTTACTTAAACAGGAAGAACACTCCATCCCCGAAAAGATCATCAAGCAATTACTACAAGAAACTGATGGCTGTTGCCCTTAGTAACCTGATGGGGGCAACTAAACGTGGCAGACTGGGAAAAAAATGGGAGAAAAACTACACCAGGAGCCACGAGCTCCATTTCTGTGCTTCAGGCATGGTATTGCTGTTGGGATGGAATCAGCAAGGTTGTGAGCCTGTTGGAGGCTCTCTCTGGCCAGGAGAGCCACTCAACCATTCCAACTTTGCCACATGATACAGAACCATCTGATTCTTCTATGGTTGCTCTAACAATAGAAATACAATCAGCCTTACCGGGAAGGTTAAATAAAAGCCCGAGAGCAAGGGGACCCCTCATCAAAGCTGTTTGCCCTATTATAAGACCACAGAGGGGCCAGCACTGTGGCAGAGCAGGTAAATCTGCTGCCTGTAGTGCCAGCATCCCATATGGGCACGAGTTCGAGTCCCAGGTGCTCCACTTCCAATCAGCTATCTTCTATGGCCAGGGAAAGCAGTATAGGATGGCCCAAGTCCTTAGCCTTTGCACCCAGGTGAGCAACCCGGAAGAAGATCCTGCTCCTGGCTTCAGGTCGAATGGCCCAGCTCCAGCCGTTGCAGCCATTTGGGGAGTGAACTAGTGGATAGAAGACTTCTCTCTCTGCCTCTGCCTGTTTATAACTCTGCCTTTCTAAGAAATAAATATTTTTTTTTAAAAAAAGACCACAGAATGCCCCAGCCTGACATGAATCTGTACTTTATAATGTATTTAAGGAAATAAAAAAAAGATTTTAACAAAATATGGCATACAAAGTTCTTATACTGTAGGACTGTTAGAAAGCTTTGAAGGAGGTTATGAGATGGTGCCATGGAATTGACAAACTTTCATAAAAGTAATTGTGATGGCAGCCCAATATTGAGTTTGAGCCCAGGAGTATGAGGATCTTGTTCATGCCTAGGCCATGGATAATTTGACCCACAATGTGCCTACTGGAACTGATCAATTACTAGGGAAAGGGCATTTGCTAATCCAAATCAACAAGTTAATTACCCTTGGTGAGAGGCTTACACTCCAGTTTCTAATATGGCTTTAAAAGTGTGGGAAAATATACCTGATGCCCATGACCCCTCCATCGCCTTTTCAGCCATTAAGCAGGGATCCACTGAAAACTACATGTTTTTTATTGACAAATGACAAAAGACCATAGGGCATCAGGTGGAAAATCAGGAGGCTATACAAGTATTATTAAAACAGTTGGCTTTTTAAAATGCTAATCCTGTTGCTAATTAACCTAAAACAATGTTTACAAAAGTTATTAAGTTATTTCAAACAGTAGGCACTAAAACTTATAAAACCAATCTGTTGGCTGTCACTGCTATAGTTCCTGATAAAAAAAATGTTTTGGTTGTTATGATCCTGGAGGCCAATGCTTTGTTGCTCATATTCAAGCTTATCTTCTTCCCATTCTCTTTCCTATTTGGGGTCGAGTTTATTACAACAAATTCAGGCTGCTATTCATACGAATTTATAATAGAGACCTCCACCAAATCAACCATCCCCACACAGCACTGCCTTTAGCTTGGCTACCTGGCGCACCAGTATGGATTGAACAAAAGCAAAAGTAGTCATGGTGGAGGCCCTAGATAAACAACAGTTACAATTAAGTCATATTTAACATTCTACCAGCCCCTGGAATACACCTATTTTTAGCATAAAAAAGAAATCTGGCAAGTGGAGACTACTCCATGACTTGCCAGAAGTTAACAAATGCAATCAGCCCATGGGACCCTTTCAGTATGTATTTCCTAACCCAAATTTAATTCCTTTAAAATACTCTTTCTTTGTTATTGATTTAAAGGATTGTTTTTGACTATCCCTTTGGCTAAAACAGACCAGGAAAAATTTACATTTGCAGTGCCTGTTTTAAACCATGCTAAGCCCATAATGTATTATCAGTGGAAAGTACTTCCTCAAAGAATGCTACATAGCCCTATATTATGTCAATATTATGTTCATCAAGCTTTAACTCATTTCAGATCTAAATTTCTAGATCTTATGGTAATTCCTTATATGGACTATATTTTAATAGCAGGCCATGCTATTAATTTTTCACATTTATAACAGCTTAGCACTGATTTGTTACAATACAGTTTACACATTGCACCAGAAAAAAATTCAAACACAATCTCTGTACTCTTATTAAGGTTATAAGTTACTTACTACCACATCTATTCCTTCCCTTTCCCAATTCTGTTTGCCTCAGCCTTTAACCTTGGTACATTTACAACAGTATTTAGATTAACTACACAACTGTTACAAATGCTTTTTGAAGCATTAAAAGGGAAAAAAAAAATCCAGCCAACACCACTGAAAGTTCTCTTCAAATTCAACAATATTTAAAAGATATTAATCTAATCCTACAATAAAGTTTTGCGGATTACATTTCTAAAAATGTGCCTTTTCAATTAGCTATATTTCACACTCCTATTAATCCTACCTACCAGAATATTGCTTGCAAAGGTTTCTAAAAATATTTATATAGTCGAATGGCTTCATTTGCCTCATATCCCTTCTTGCAATATTGATCCTTACTCATAAACTATGACTGATTTATTCACCAAAGGACGTCACTGATCTCTTACTTTAATTACACTTGACTTAATATTTATCTACCTTTTTCTAAACAGAAACATAAAAATGTATTACAAGTTCAACTTATCAAGTTGCTTTTATTGATTATGTAGGAGAACTCTCCTTTAATCTCCTTAAAAATCCTTGATTGACTCTTTTTACTACTTTGCCGTTTTCCTTCCGTTCCATAATTCCTAAGGTTCCCATTATTTAAGCTCTTACTATTTTTACAGATAGATCCCCTTCAAGAGGAGTTATTAGCTATCAACAGGATTCACCCTCCATAGTGAAATATACTTTACCTCAAAAAACAGTTCAACATAGTGAGTTAGTGGCAGTTACTTTGGCTTTGCAATTATTTAAGGACCAACTGTCCTTTTAACCTTATTGCCAATTCTCAATGTTACTCATTTATTATTTCATTTGCCAAATGCCCAAATTAGTCCTTCTATTGACTCATCTACTTAGCCTTTTCTTAACTTCACAAACCTTATTATCACATCAATTTCCTTTATATGTTGCTCATATTCACAGCCACACCTCTTCATCTGGTTTTCTTTCAGAAGGGAATAGACATGCAGATGAGGCTGACATGTCAGTACTCTTTTCTGATCCTATTCAGAGTCATGAATTTTTCTGTCAGTTAAATCTCTCCATAAACAGTTTAAAATGCTGCTTTCTAATGCTCGTGCTATTATCTCTAACTGTTCCCAATGTGTTCAAACCCCTTGTTATTTTCCTTGTACTGCTGTCAACCCTCAAAGGCCATCCCATGAGCTTTGGCAAATGGATATAACTCACTGTCCTTTATTAAAACCCTTCTCTTGTTTACATGTTGTTATTAATACCTACTCAGGTTATATTTGGAGAACCCCACTTAAAGGAGAATCCACTCATTATGTCATTAAACACCTATTAATGGCTATGCCTTGGATGGGACCAATGTCTGCAAATAATTGATAGAATTAAAAAGGAGAGAATGATCCTACTTGAGGAGCAGGATACATAGCAGACTCATAGAATGGCAAAAGCCCTAAACAGCACTCTGGCCTCAGAATCAGCCCTTCAGGCATTCAGATCTGGCTAAAAAGCCCATGAGAGTTTCGCAGGCATGGAAAGCCAAGACATGGTGGCAAAAATAAAATAAGTGACCTAAATGAAAGATCTCTGTGAGATCCCAGCAGAAAGAACAGGCCATCAAAGAAGGAGGTACCTTTCTCTGAAGGGAGGAGAGAACTTCCACTTTGACTATGGCCTTGTCTAAATAAGAGCAGAATTGGTGAACTCAAGAGGTTCCCATAGCCTTGGCAGCTCATGACAAGAGCCTCGGGTGATTACTGACATCATCAATAAGAGTGTCAATGGTTAAATCAACAATGGGAGTCACTGTGCACCTGCTCCCCATGTAGGATCTCTGTCCTTAATGTGTTGTACTATGAGAATTAATGGTAAAACTACTACTCAAACAGTACTCTATACTTTGTTTTTATGTATGCAGTCTGTTGAAATCTTTACTTAGTATATACTAAGTTGATTCTCTGCATATAAAGATAATTGCAAATGAAGCACAATGAAGAATGGGATGGGAGAGGGAGTGGGAGATGGGATGGTTGCAGATGGGAGGGAGGTTATGGGGGGAAGAGTCATTATAATCGAAAAGTTGTACTTTGGAAATTTATATTTATTAAGTAAAAGTTGAAAATAAAAAAATGGCTATGCCTGTCATGGACAAACCTACTCAATTAAAAACTGATAATGGGGGCTGGGGCTGTGGCATTGCATGTAAAGCAATGGTACCGGCATCCCATATGGGCACTGGTTCAAGTCCCAGTTGCTCCACTTCCAATCCAGCCCTCTGCTACAGCTTGGGAAAGCAGAAGATGGCCCAAGTCCTTGGGCCCCTATACCCACATGGGAGACCTGGAGGAGGCACTTGGCTCCTAGCTTTGGTTGCACATCTCCGCCTGTTGCAGCCATTTGGGGAGTGAAATAGCAGATGGAAAACTTCCCCCCTTGCCCCTCCTTCCCTCTCTCTCTCTCCCCCTCTCCCTCTTTAACCCTGCCTTTCAAATAAATAAATAAATCTTTATAAAAAAAACTGATAATGGGCCCACTTATACCTCTTCTACTTTATCATCTTTGTCATTTATGGGATATTAAACTCAATCATGACATTCCCCATAATCCTACAGGTCAAGCCATTGCTAAACAGACCCATCATACTCTTAAAGCCCTTCAAAAACAAAAGGGGGGGGGGATCACTCCTAGGGAAATCAGACAATGGCAATTCTTTCATTTACTGTTAATTATCTAATTTCTTTTTCAAAATTTAATTCTACCTCCTTAGATTGTGAAACCCCAACACAAAGGCATTTTCATCCAGCTCATAAAGAACCACAACAATTAGTTTATCACTAGGAGCCCCCTAATTCTAACTGGAGAGGTCCTGCACCATTAATTACATGGGCGAGAGGGCATGCTTCCGTTTTAGCCCATACAGGTCCTCTTTGATTCTGGCTCATTGTGGTTTACCTGCCTGTCATCATGAGTTGGACACAGCGACTTTGGCAATTGAAGAATAGTGGTTGACATTCTTTCACCTTCCAACAACACCTGATCAACCAATTATTATATCTCTACCTGATTGCTGGTCATCATCCATTCACCTAGGGAGATATCAAATCTCTGGCTGCTGCTGCTCAACAAAACTAGCACCTAAAACGTGGTCGAAACCTTCTGAGACTTTACTTATGGCCATAATGGCTAAACTTATAACTCTATGCTTAAACTACTGTGTGTCTTTATATTGTTGCCTTGTTCTGTGGCCTTTGCTGCTTTGCTATGTTATCTTATACTAACTGTTTGTATATTGCTACCCTACATATTGAAAGACCAGTAGGAGCTCCTGTGTTCTTGCATTGTGCATGGAATTGTTCCCACTCATCATCCTAGGCATCTGGTTGGCTCTTTAATGGTAAAGGATTAGGTGCCGACTGGTTTAAAGTTCTAGGGCCACCCACGATTGGAGAAATGGAACGACCTATTGACTTGTCCAGAGGGAAAAAAAGACTGTTCCAACTGATTCGGGAACCCATTCCTGTAAATTACTAGATGCCTCTACTGAAGGCCCCCTCACTCGTGTACTGTAAATATTACTGTTTCCTTTATCATGGAACTTCTGATTATTCTGATGGTATCAAAGATAATTTTTGGATCTATTTAGCCAACTCCAGTCCTAATGAGTCCTCCTTTTGCAAAAGGAAGAAGAAATCTTCTAATGTTCTTACTCATAATTTGATAGGCATTGGAGCTATGGTCTCACTCTTGAAAAATAAACTAAACATTCTTTCATGTAATATACAAACAAATCAGTCAGTCATCCCATTCCTTTGCTCCCTGTATTCTTCCATTTATAAAGAAATAATACTCTGGTAAAATTCAACTCATCCATTATCCTTCTTATGGGATGGGCTTCTTTATGCAATAATTAATTTTATCCAGCTTTACCTCCTTCCTACTCTGGACTCTGTTCTCGGAAGAGTCATCTCAGCATTGCTTCCCAATTCCAACAGCTAAAATTCATGTTAATGCTCTTATCTCCCGTCTATGCACCCTGATTGTAACAATGACCTTAATCTTCTGAGTGTAACCACGGCAGCCATTGTGGCTGCCTTTATTTTTACCTATTCATGGTACGGTGGTGGGTGCCCACAACTTAGGATAATTGGCACGTATATTATCTAAAACTGCTAATGCAACTGCCACACTTTGTCATATATTAATTTTAAGCTTAATCAAGTTTAAGAGGGAGTCTTATAAAAATCATGCTGCTATCGATTATTTGTTACTTAAACATCATATATGATGTCAACAATTTCCTGAATTATGTTGTTTTGGTATTTCAGATAATTTAATTTTATACACAAATAAAATGACAAAATCAAAGAGGAAATGTCACATTTGCATGTTCAAACTGAATGGTGGCAATTGGGATCCTGGTTACATTGATTGTTACCCTTTGCAGTGCCACTTCTGGTGATATTGCTTCTATGTCTATTCGGACCATGCATTGTCTCTTACATCTCTACACTAGTATCGCAAAACCTACCATCTCTGATTAAAACAAAGAAATCGGGGGATGCAGAGGAAACTGCCCAAATGTTCTTGGGGGAACACACTCCCTTGCAATGGGACATGGCTGCAGTCCTGTCTCTGCCTATGCAGGCTAGGCAAGGGCACACCCTCCCAATGGAATGCAGTAGCAAAGGCAGCAGCGTGGGTAATCTGTAACTAGTGATGTATGATGGTTTTGGGAACTTGAAATATTGAGCAAGGCTTTGAATACTTGTAACATAGATCAAAACATGGATATGGATCACATCACTATCCTTTGTCATGGACCATAAAAGCTTGATTTTGTTCCTTTAATAAGCTTTAGTTAATATACTACTATGCCTAAGTACTGCCAGCGTGTACAGTTGTTTATACCCCATAATAAAAATGCTAGCCAGGGGCTGTCTGGGGGTGCTTTTTGTCCTGCTTGTCATTATCAATTCACCACTCTTTCTAAAGTGAAGTAATGTGCTGCCATGCAGAAAAGAGGCAGCATGTAAAGATGTCTAAATCAACCCCAAATAAAGCTTTTACATTATTGTGGCTCAAATTGGACCCAATGTCATTTTTTTAAATAAAGAGAAATAACCATTAATCACTTTCCACAAAGGCTAAGCTAATAACAAGTCAAGAAATCTCATATTTTGACTAAATAGATATTTAGGGTTGTGTCCATCATTAAAATTTATCTCTGTAAATATTGACATGTTTGTATTTTATGTAATTCTTCACCCTAAAAGACAAGCAATTTATTGTGTATAAAGTTTTAAATGTGCATTTCTGACAGGATAATCATCAATTTTTTACAGTGAATGACCCAAGAGGCATCTTAGTTCTTTCTAATCTCAATATATTTTATCATCTGGCTACACGACCTATACCCTACATGATGTGTGAGTCATCTACCTTTTACCTGGGAAAGGTGGGTAAGGATGGGGCCAGGATTAATTTATAGAAAGCAGAGAATAAAGTTGAAATCATTCTACAAAGAGAAATACTTTTGCTTTCGATTTCATATGCTGATAATTTCCCAATTTGCAAAAGTAAAAAGTTCGATGTCCAGAAATAGACTTTTTCAGTGCCCAGGAGAGTAGTAAAACATATGTGGTGATCTGCAGAGGAAACAGGAAAACTCCTGGGATTTGTTTGCTGCCAATTCCAAGACAGAACCACATTCACCTTAGGGAAGCCTCCGTTATTTGTTCCCTGGTTACCCTGCTCTTGGTGTGTCCTTTCCCTTCCTTCAATTTGGTAAGTTGCCACAACAAAAATACCAGGGCATTACATCAGAACCTCCCCATCTTTGGCAGTCAGCAGTGTCAAAGTGGATGTGACATTGTTGCGGAACAGTCCTGCTGCTGTGCTGCCATTCCAAGGCTTTGACAGTAAGCCAGACATGGCATGCATCAAGAGGACAGCTATGTTCTGGGTACACGAGAAACTCAGCCATGTGGCCTGGGGAGGAATGCCACCACATCCCATCAGACCTTGTGTTTCATCTGGAGTTCTTGGGGACCCCTGCCAGATACTCCAACCATCGCCATCCTGTAGGGTGGGCAGATTATGTGTTTGTTATAAAGGTCATTTAGAAGAAAATTAACTGAAACCCATTTGTGCTAGTGTAAGAATGGCAGGTCAATGATGAGTAAACAAAGATTCCATGGCACCACAGAAGAGGGTGCTGTGAGGGCGCAGGAAGCAGAATCAGCAAAGCTCTCAAATGATACAGATGTCTCTGTCTCTTTGCTGCTCTCTGCATATACCCCCATTCCCTTTTGGATCAACTGGATTTTTTGTTTCTCCCCAGTCCCCAGGGTGGTCACTCTATATCTTTAAAGAAACTGACTCCTAGTCTCAATTCCAGATTCTTGAGAAATAACCAATGTGTCCCATTCGGAACACAGGTTTCTATATGAAGCCCATTAACTGTATTCAGGGACATCAGGTCAAAAGGTGCAGAAATAGCTGCTAGAAATGTATCCTACAGACCAGTGATAGAGGGAGGCATTTGTTTCTGCCTTCAGAAGAAGGTCTAACCCATGGACTACCCAAACACCAAAAGCTACATATTCCAAGACGCAATAATGAGGTAAAGTTCAAGAAGGGTGTTGTTGCTTCACACATGCTCCTCTCAAATGTTTTTAAAACTCGGTTAATTCAAAGAACATTCTATAAACCATCACCATCCCATTTATATTAATATCATTTACAGCTATTTATTGGTTGTAATATTTTTAAACAAAATAATTTAGCAGAAATTTAGTGTGAAAATGTGGCTTTATTTTACTTCTCTACATATACACATACACACCCAAGCACACTGCATTTCTCCACCTTGTTAAGAAGTCCACATGGATATTTTTAAGTCTCTCAAACTAGTTCATGTGATGCAAAGTCATAGATGTGGCTCATACAGGCCTTGGTCTGGATCTCAGCCCTGTCCCTTAGTCACTTTGTAAACTTAAACTTCACTGAGTTTATTTTTTCATTATAAAAGGGAGTTAATAGCTCCCTCACCACGTTTCGGTGAAGACTGGAAAATGACAAAATATGTAAAATTTGTCTGGGCCTCTTCTTTGAATTTTATTGTAGATTTCAGTTCAGCCACAAAGAATAAGGAACTTAGTACTCCAAGACAGCCAAAAATATGCTCAGCTGTTTTGAGTATTTTGCTACTACAGGTGCTCAAGTATGGACAAAGTGACTACTGGTTGCCTGTTCTCTCCCAATGCTTACACTGCCTGGTTCTAGAATTTATCCTAGATATCCCCATCTATATGCCATTATCCAAATCCAACATACCTAAATAAGCAGCATCTTTTTTATAATCTACTGCATTTATTGTCAAAGGGACCACAACCTGAGTCACCCTGCTCACACTGTTGTTCTTTTGCTCAGCGGCTCAAAAATTTCACATGGTTGACAACACCTCTGCTCTGACCACATCTTCCTACCTAAAACCTACATAAAAATTCATGATACACTGCCTTTCGTCACACCCTTTACTTTTATGGGCTAAGTAGAAAATCATCAGGAGGTGTTTTGCAACCCATTTGGCTTCATTTCTGTTAGAGGCTTTCCTTGTGGTTATGATTTAAAAATAGAAATGCTCCACTTATCTTCAGTCTACTTGCCATCCATGACTTAACCAGATCTGTGCCAAGATGTCAAGGATACAGATGCTATATACTCATAGACTCATAACCCTCTGCTACTATTCTAACCTATCAGTCACACAAATTAATTACCCTAAACAGTTCTACCACTTACAGGAGTACAAGATTATATCAGGCCATCAAGACCCAAACTTTCTAGTCTTCTAAATTCACTACTTCCCTGGGAAGTAATATCCAAAACCTGCTCTCTGAAATCCGTCCAAAGGCTCAGTTCTCTAAGGACCTCAGCAGCTGACCAGTCCCAAGAGGCACCTCAAGGTTATTTACATCACATCTAAATTTTTTATTCAATATCCTCTAGGTACAATGCAGAATTTCATACCTCTGAAGTCTTTCCTCCATCCTTTATCAGCTCCTGGAAATTCATTCTCTTTCTCTCTTCCTCTCTTTCCCCCTGCTTTCCCTCCCTTCTTCCTCTCTCCCTCTCCTTTTTCAATAAAGATATGCACATCCTTGAAAAGCCTAATAAAGCTCCACCTTCTCAGTGATTCACAGCCTGGAATTCAGAATTCGTTTCTTCCATTAGGTATAGTTGGTTAGCATTGTCCATGCCCTGGGTCTTTTCAGTCCTATAACACTGTCACCTATCTTATCGAAATAGTGCTTAGCTTTCTTTTCCTCTGGGATGCCATGAAGTTGAAATGGCATACTGAGGCCGACAGTGATACAGTCGTTCCCTGTTCACTTCCAGGGCAGGGGCCCCATCTTGCTCATGTTCACTGCTGTTCCCAGGGCAATGTCTGATACTCACAGCAAGCACACGACCAACACTGCGGCCTGGGTGGCCTCTACCTGAGTTTTACTTTTGACTTTTAACTTTATTAAAGATGTTACTCTATTCTCCCAACAATGTTGTGAGGCATGAAGCACTAGAGTTACCTTTTCTGGATGGTAGATAGTAGACAAAGTTTTACTACTAAAGTATTAACCCCACAATTTTCAATATTGTTCATGCCAAATCAGGAGATAAACTCTCACATGAAGGGGCCAGCATGTGGTATAGCAGATAAAGCTGCTGCCTGTTAACACCTGCATCTCTTATGAGCAGCTGTTCAAGTATCAGCTGCTCCACTTCTAATCCAGCTCCCTGCTAACGGACTGCAAAAAGCAGCAAAGATTGGCTCAAGTGCTTGGGTCCTTACACCCATGTGGGAGACCTGGATGAGATTCCTGGCTCCTGGCTTCAGCCTGGCCTAGCCCTGGCCATTGCAGCCATTTGGGGAATAAGCCAGTGGATGGAAGACCTTTCTCTCTCTCTCTCCCTCTCTGTAACTCTTTCAAATAAATCTTAAAAAAAAAAAAAAACACACACACACAAAACTCACATGGATTACATAATTTGCTTAGAGAGGAAATCAAAGTGCTTTCTTTTTTAAGATTTATTTATTTATTGGAGAGGCAGAGCCACAGGCAAAGAGAGAGACAGGGAGACAGATCTTCTAACCCATGATTCATTACCCAATTGGTCACAATGGCCGAGGTGAAGCCATTAGCTTCTTCTGGGTCTCCCATGTGGGTGCAGGGGCCCAAGCACCTGGGCAGTCTTCCAATGCTTTCCAGAACACCAGCAGAGAGCTGGATCAGAAGAGGAGCTGTGGGGACTCAAACTGGCATCCAGAATGCCAGATCCACAAGTGGAGGTCTAACCTACTATGCTGGCCCCCAAAGTACTTTCTTAAAACTTGTGTTACATATGTATGAGTGCTGCAATGCCTTAGTCTTGGGTTCGGAAGATCAAGTATCACATTCTACACCAGCAGCTGTATGAATATAAGCTGTTTCTATGGAAGAAAGATTTTGGTAATAATGCTTTTGAATACACTGAAAGCATCAATCAGGGCAAAGGACATGAGAGAGATGTTTCCTTTGAGTTCATCTATTGTTAAACATTCATTTGGAATGAAGTCTGCACTTAGTGAACAATGGTGTTTTCTCAATTTGTGTTTATGTAGTCCCATAAAGGGTATAAGATTAGATCAGGTCATTCAGATCCCTACTTCCTAGTCTCCTAAACTCACTTCACTCAACTCCCAAGAAACAACATCCAAAATGAATCCCTGGGCACTCTTTCTACGAGTACAGATTATTTGTTTTGAGCACACTTCCTTTGGAGAAATCACATTCTCTTAGCTTAAATTTCCTGCCTAAAAGCAGTTGAGCATGGCATGCCTCTTCCTGACCCAGGGAAGGAAAATTTCAACTGTTCTGTAGGTACGTTCTTGGTTTTCAAAAAGTTCAATGCTAGGTGTTTTTTTTTTTTTTCCTTCCTTTGCTTACAATGTAGGACACTGAAAGTATTTTATTTTCTGGATTCAAGAACAATATCAAACTGATCTACGTATTAGCTAGTTCATGATCTCCTTTAAATAAAGAAGTGCTGAATCATTTCAGTGAATTGACTTTAGAAATAGTAAGAGGAATCTACTGTGTGATCCTGAAGAAAAGAAATTTACTATCACCTGGAGCTGGGATATAGATAATCTTACCAATCAGTAGTGAATGCATAATACAATTAATAATAAATTCTACTGTTCATTGAATATTTTCCAGGTGCCAGATATGAGTAATGCTATCAACTCTATAAGTAAGGAAACTAAAGCTTTGGAAAGTTCAATAACTTACCCTAAAATTATGGGAATTGCAGACAGTACAGCTGAGATTGCCCTGGCTGTCTAATGTCACGCTGTATTCTTAATCAAGGTGTGGAATCCATAATGAAGTCAGGGAGCGATTGTCCAGATGTCAGTGAAGAGCACAATCTGCTATCAGGTACTATCAATTCACTTTAACATACAGGGGAATTCTCAGAAACACACCTTTCCTGGCACCCTGTTTTACCTATAGAAAAATAAGAAAAAGAAAAATGATGAGAAAATATAGTAAGAAATTGAGACAAGAAATGTTGCTCTGCTAGCTTCCACAAATACATACAGTGTAACAGTCAGATTATGCAGCACTGTATAGCATGTCATGCCACACTTTATAAATCAGAAATCTCTGGAAACCAATATGACCCCACCAGTATAATATTAAGCTTAATTTGTGAAACCAACATAATACCAATTAAACAGACTATGGTCTGTTTGTTGGGATTATTTTAAGTTTTAAGTTTCTTTTTTTTTTTTTTTTTTTTTAAGGGAGAGGGTTTATTGGGGAAACTCAGCAGGCTGGAGGGACAGGGTAAAGAAGGAAAAGAGAGAGAAGGAGAGTATAAGAGAGAGAGAAGAGAGGAGCTTTCGAGGAGAGGAGAGCAGATGAGAGGAGCCAAGAGAGTCACGTGTTCAGGAATAGGCCCTTTTAAAACTTTGCCAGAGGGCAGGCAGGGAAGCAGGAGCAGTGAATCCCATTAGGATGGGGGTGGAGCTTAGCACAGGTAGTTGGGCCATGTGGCTACCAGACTTTCAGCAATGGCGGTGGAACCGAGTCATAGGATGTAAATCAGGATGTAGATCGCATGTCATTTTCCTAACATTCCCCCCTTTTGTTTTTTATAAAGCAGGAGTGGTATGGAATTAGATTAGTCCCAAAAGTCCAGGAGGGGTAGAAGGACGATGATCTGTCTTTAGAGCTACTTCCTGCTGACATGGGGCGACGAGATACTCTTCACTGGCATGGGGCAATGTCTCAAGCCGCTGTCTCCTGGGTGGGGAGCCGAGTATGTCCCTGTAGCAGCATTTGGTTGACCGCCTGGTTGCTGAAGGCCTTTGTTCCATTATCACCAGCTGTAAACATTTAGACACTGTAGTATACAAGACAGGGTGAGAATAGCAAACAATGATCCTAAGAGTCGCATTAACCAGGTAATGAGAGGATTTCATTGAGAGGAAATGGGGCGGGGGGGGGGGGGGGGCGTCTCTGGACCTTTGTGGGGACAGTTTGATGGATGTGGCTTAAAGCTGATCCCAGGCAAGACCAGGAGAAAGGCCACTCACATTAAGTTGTTAGTTTCAACAGCTTCACCAAGTTTTCTTTAGCAATAATGATATTACTTTATCTTATAAATGATAAATATCAGGAAAACATGATCATCTGAGGCAAGATTATTCCTTGAAAATATAAAGGGAAGAAACTTAAGATAAAACACAGTATTTTCAAAACTAAGTCTATTGGATGTTTTGAGGATAACTATGTAAACGTGAATCATAGAATTACAAATACACAATGACAAAATGCATCAGTAATGGATGTGAACAATAAACTTATTTTTTCTAAACAGTTTTAGGCTATGATTCATTTTGTTTCTTAAATACACTTTTTTAAAAGATTTTATTTTTTTGAGATTTATTTATTTATTTGAAAGTCAGAGTTACACAGAGAGAGGAGAGGCAGAGAGAGAGAGAGAGAGGTTTTCCATCCAATGGTTCACTCCCCAGATGGCCGCAACAGCCAGAGCTGCGCTGATCCGAAGCCAAAAGCCAGGAGATTCTTCAGGTCTCCCACATGAGTGCAGGGGCCCAAGGACTTGGGCCATCTTCTACTGCTTTCCAAGGCCATAACAGAGAGCTGGATTGGAAGTGGAGCAGCTGGGTCATGAACCGGCACCCAAATGGGATGCCGGTGCTTCAGGCCAGGGCATTAACCCGCTGTGCCACAGTGTAGGCCCCTAAAAGATTTTATTTATTTGAGAAGTGGAGTTACAGACAGCGAGAAGAACAGACAGAGAGAAAGGTCATCCATCCACTGGTTCACTCCCCAAATGGCCACAATGGCTCAAACTGGGCTGATCTGAAGCCAGGAGCTTCTTCTGGGTTTCTCACATTGGTGCAGAAGCCCAAGGGCTTGGGCCATCTTTCACTGCTTTCCCAGCAGACAGCTGGATTGAAAGAGGAGCTTCTGGGACACAAACTGACACCCATAGGTTTGCCCACAGCACAGGTAGAGGCTTAGCCTACTGCGCCACAGCGCTGGCCCCAATAAACTTAGTTTTGAGACTAGAATTGTAATAGAATTTTTTCAATTAATGTAAAACAGCAGATAACACTCTACCTTTCTTTCTTCTTTCAAGAAGAAAGGTTTAACATTGAGCTAGAGGATTTTATTAATATTAACATCACTCAGCAAATGTTGATCTTAACCAGAGAATAGACATCAACAATACATCATTTTCCAAAGGATCCATCTTTGGCAAGTGCTGCATAGATTCCAAACCAATTATATAATTCTCAGCTTGATGAGCCTCTGGAGATGGCTCATAAAAGAAGTTGTTCTAACAGCTTGAATTCACTAGACAATTTGGGAAATGTCACAGAAAATAACAGAGAACTTTGGAATGATGTAACAAATTGATGATCCCTGTCAGATTAGAGCGCGTCCTTTTATCAATTTCAAAGGATTTACTTAGAGTACTCCGGGTGCTCTAATCATTCTAAATAATAGATCTAATCGATTCATATCTTATTAGACAAAATTAGAGCTTCTTGAAAAGTTCAAAGTATTTCCTGCTTGAAAATTCTATTTTAGAAGTTTCTAATTTATAAGGAAAATTTGAAGAGGCCTATCTCAGGGAAACTTCATTCTTTTATTTAAAAATGTCCAGTGTTAACATCTGAATAACTGATGCAAACATCAGAACTTACAGAGACAGAGCTCTGTAGCGAGAGTTTGATAAAATTTTGCCTTTTCTAATTAGTGATTATGAGACTTAGGGGTTTACTCATTTCTTCTAATGGTGCTACCTGTTCAAGAGGTTTAATACTGCATATTCCACAAGGCTCTTAAGCTTGAGATGAGATGTGTGGAAAGTGTATCATGGCATGGGATATATGGTGAACATCTCCATTTGCCTAGACTTTAATTCAACGTATATGAAATCTTTATTGTCTCTCTCTGCAACAGAATGAAGTGGCACAGTGAGGAGAATGGTACTGATTTATCACTGATGTGCTTAATGCAGTGCCGGCTTATTATATATTCTCAGTGCCTATTTGTTGACTGAAGGATCAATACTTTATTATTTAACAAAAGATCCTCTTCCTTACAACTCCATTTTTTCATAATCTAGTATATACATTAGAATATATATATTCTCTTCTAAAATACAATATAAGAGGACTGGCACTACTGATATCATGGACACTAACAGGATTTTAAAAAGGAATATTATAGATAACTTTATAAGTTTGATACCTTAAGTGAGATGGATCAACTCCCTGAAAGATTATCAAAATTTACACAGGAAGACATAACATCAATCAGTCTCCACATGCCTAACAAATTCAATCAGTAATGGACAATCTTTCAAAACAGAAGGAATAGGCCTATATAGTTTCCTTGGTGAAGTCTACCGAATATTTTGGGAATAAATTATGCAAAGTCTCCACAATCTCTCACAGAAGAACGGATGTGGAAGGATTACTCTTAACTCATTCAATGAGGTCAGCTATTTCCTAATAGCAAAAGCCAGAGGCATTACAAGAAAGGAAAACTATAGACCCATATGCACAGGAACATAAATACAAAACTCTTCAACAAAATATTAGGAAGTAGAATCCTACAATGCACAAAAATAATTAGACACCATGGCCAAACAGTATCTATTCCAGGTGTGAAGGCTGGTTATATATTCAATAATCAATAATCCATCATATCAATAGGCTAAGAAGCAAATTTACATTGTAATATCATTAGATGCAGAAAAAGCATTTGACAAAATCCTATACCAATATATGAAATGGTGAGGAACTTCTCCAGCTTGATAAATAGCATCTGCAGAAACCCTACAGATAAAACCATACTTAACAGTGATAAACTTGGTACTTTTTGCCTAAAACTGGGAATAAAGCAAAAGCATTCTCCTCTCATTACTCCTATTCAACCTGGTTCTGGTAGTCCTGGCTAATAGCTAAAGACAAGACAAGAAAGTAACAGATTGGGAACAAAGATACAGACTATCTTGTTTATTAAATGATCATTTTTAAAAACTTTTTTAAAGGTTTATTTGAAAGGCAGAATGGCAGAGAGAGAGAGGCAGAGACAGAGAGACAGTGGTCTTCCATCTGCTGGTTCAGTCCCCAAATGGCCACAGTGGTCAGGGCAGGACCAGGATGAAGCCCAGAGCCAGGAACTCCATCCAGTTTTCCCACAGGGCTGGCAGGGGCACGAGAACTTGGAACATCTGCTGCTTTCCCAGACATATCAGCATGGAGCTGGATCAGAAAGGGATGCTGGCATTCCAAGAGATGGTGTAACTCACAGGCCCCTGGACAATCTAGAAAATCCAGAAGAAACAACAATAGCAAAAAACTCCTGGAACTAATGAGTGATTAAAGCAAGATTGAGATACAACACCAATATACAAAGGTCAATGGCTTTCTTATATACCAAAAATGAACAAATAAATTTTGAAATTAAAAATATAAATTCCATTTACATAAGCATCAAAACCTGAAATATTTAGATATAAATATGACAAAATATGTGTAAGATCCATGTAAGACATGCTAAAATGTATACATTTATGAAATAAAGTCAGATAAATGGGGAGAGTAAACTTGAAGAATTTCACTGAACCTGAGGGAGATCTTACATTTGTTTATTTATTTTTTTTTGCGCAATCCAATTTTTAAGCCCCTATTCTTATAGAAATTCATACAGAAATCTGCATAGTTAAGAAAAATCCCTGGGGGGAAAAATGGCAGATTAGGGAGCAGTATGCTATACAGGGCTGAGAAGAAAAAGTGCAATGAATAGGGTAGGAGGTACAAGTCTGGGGGAGAAGAGAAGGGGAACAACCTGGGAAGCCCCACAGGTGGAGGGGAAACAACCCGAAACCACATGGGGAGTGCTGGCGCACACACAGAGCCACAGTCACAGACAGCCCAAGCCGGGAGCATCGTTGA